AAAAAAAAGACTGCAGAGCAGGCCTCACCGGGTACACAGCAGAGAGAAGTAGCCTGTCTTTCTGGATTCTGTGATCCAGGTCACATTGCACCAAGTGCTGGTTTGAGGAAGCTGGGTTAAAGCTTTCATATCCTGAAAGGGAGGAAAGAATCGGCTATAAGATGAGTCAGCTCCTTCCAACAGAGTTTAACAGTGACAGGAGGGAGTATGACTGACAGGCACTAAAGAACATATGCCAGGGGGTTTCTACTGGAAATAAAACATTAATTTTATAGTCATAAACACAGAGAGGACATGGGATTCTACCCAGAGAGCTTTTATAGACTGTAGCGCCAGCACAAACTGCTGGAAATGTTGATGAAGAAAGTAAGACAAGGGTAAAAACAGTTGTCACTCCAGAAAACAAGAGCCATATCTCTTTGGATCCTGTCAGGATCTAGTACTTTTACTTGCTTTCCAACCTCAGGAAGATTCCCTGGTGACAAGAATTTTCTGCAGTGGAATTTCATGGTGAAAATTATGGGCTATATTCATTAAACAAATATTAGGGATAGCAACTACCTGCCTGTGTTAGATACCTTTGTTAAAAGGGAAAAGTGTATGAAAATAGTGGGACTTAAGACAGAGTTTCCAATTCCTCAGTCTTTTCTGTGTCTGATCTTTTGTGTGGCTGGGGATCAGAGGCTGCAAGGGAAAACTCCGTGAGAGATTTCATACATGCAGAAAGGGAGGAAAAAACTCAGAGGAGCCTTTCCGTTTCTTAGGGCATCTGTTCTGAGGGTTTCTACGGGGGGAAAATGGAGCACTAACTTATAGTATGGAGCGAATGTAAGAGTTTTAATGAGAGTCCTGCCTTGGATCCCTGCTCTCAAATAAGGTTTAGTTGAGTCAGAGAAAATAGATCAACAGCAAGAGGAGATGCAAAAAAGAGATCAAGTGGTAGACATGAGGTTGGGGATTTTGTGTGTCCAGGGGTCTGGGATGGCATTTTTGGCACTTGTAGTAGAGTTGATAATTGATGGGACTGCAGAATGGGTGCATGCCAGTAGAGGGCAGCTCGGTTTTGTGGGACTTTCCAGGAGAATGGGTATAACAATTTGAAAAGTCCTGCCAAGCATTTCTAACAGCTAGGTGAAGGGCTGAAGTGCCACAGCCTAGTGCCTAATAGTATTCTAAACTGTTTTTTCTTTAGCTTATTTATAATTCAGAAACTTTCCTCTGCTGATGAAAGCTTCAGTGGGCACAGCATTGTATTTATCTTTAATCCCAACCTAAAATAGTGATGAGCTGTTCAGAGGCATGCTTGCACACCTACATGCTACACAGTTCCCTAGTTATTTTTAATTTGTTTTATAGAGAGTGTGAGGTTGTGCTAAGCAAAACCCTACAGTGCTGCCTGATATTTTGGGTAAGAGAGTACCTGTACTTTGGGAAAAGTAAAGGATTAATGAATACAGTTTTATAAGCCATTGTTCTGGGAGAGAGACTAATTATCTGGATTTATTTAAACTAAGCTTTGACTGATGATATTTAAAGTCTTGAATTTAACCAACATAAATATGCTAATATCAAGTTTAGGCTTTTTAAATATCACAGTACATTCAAGAACTAGTGGTCTAGATAACGACTTAAGCTTTTAGTCCGTAAGAAAATCCTGATGGTGTTGCTGTGTATTTTGATCTAATAGGTGTGTCATGTGGCAAGGTCATTTGGCTGTGAGAATTACAATTGCCATTTTATCCCTCATTGTCTTTTATTAGTTTATTATGACTGGTCATTATATTGGCTTTAAGTTACTTTTCATAACCATATGGGAAATTTGAAATATCTGTAAAATGACAATTAGAAATTGAGATACAAGAACCAGAGAATCACTGGAAGTCTTGAGCCTATAGCAAAATGAATGACATTATTGATGCTTATTATTGCAGATCTTGGACGATGGAGGGGATCTTACTCACTGGATTTATAAGAAGTATCCCAACATGTTTAAGAAAATCAAGGGCATAGTAGAGGAAAGTGTTACTGGAGTCCATAGGTAAGATTTGACCTGAGCATACCTGGTTTTATGCAGCCTAGACATATATATCTTCTATATTCACATGCCTATAGAATACATTATGTTAAAAATTGGAACCTGCTATGAGGTGATGAGCTCTAAGTCTACGCACTTATTTTTTTAATTAACAACACAGGGCCGGCCCCGTGGCTTAGCGGTTAAGTGCGCGCGCTCCGCTGCTGGCGGCCCGGGTTCGGATCCCGGGCGCGCACCAACGCACTGCTTCTGCGGCCATGCTGAGGCCGCGTCCCACATACAGCAACTAGAAGGATGTGCAGCTATGACATACAACTATCTACTGGGGCTTTAGGGGGAGGATAAATAAATAAATCTTTAAAAAAAAACAAAAAACACAAATAACCTAAAATAGTGAGGGAGGGAGAAGGTAGGAGAACAAGTGTGGTTCTCATGTTTTCTAGTCATTGTAATGCAAAGACTGCTTGTCCTTTTTGGACAAATTCATTTATTTAACAGACATTTATTTATTGAACTTCTACAATGACCAAGGAACTGTTCTAGGAACTGTGCTAGTGATGTAGCAGTGGGCAAATCAGACAAAAACCTAGGCCCTCATAGAGCTTACCTTCTTGTACGGAGAGCAAGGATTTAGGGTTTTGTGTCTCAAATGAGCAATAATTCCCTGAGTAAAATTGGAATCATTTCTGTTTACTATTATTCACCCAGAAAGAACTGAAAGTATGAAATAAAAGTTTTAGGAAAGTAAATTCTAAATAAGCCACCATCACGGCTTCAATATATTGTGATCTTTTTGAATATACAAAACTATGGGTTATACCATACCTTCAGATTCTAAGTAAAGGATGAATTTTAAATAAAAGACCTGGGCCGGCCCTGTGGCTTAGCGGTTAAGTGCACGTGCTCCGCTGCTGGCGGCCCGGGTTCGGATCCCCAGCGCACACCGACGCAGTGCTGCTCCGGTCATGCTGAGGCCGCGTCCCACATACAGCAACTAGAAGGATGTGCAGCTATGACATACGACTATCTACTGGGGCTTTGGGGGAAAAAGAAATAAATAAATTAAAGACCTGGTTCTAATTTTTAGTTGACTCAATTTAAATAAAACTGTATATAGATATACATATTTATAAATATGTGTATGAGATTATAAAAGAGAGACTATTTGAAAGTTAAAATTGTTGCATTAGAGTAGTGGGATTAAAACAGTACTTAAAGTTACTCTTTTTATAATTAAAAAGGGGAATAAAATTAATAAGCAATTTAAAATTTTACATTTTAATCCTTAAAATTTAGAGGTGAGTTAAAGATTTTCCCCACATGCCTTTTGACTAAGACGTTTATTTCTAAGCTGTATACAGGCTCTAGAAAGATATTCTTTATTTCTCTATATACATCTAATAGGATGAAACTAGTTGTGTCTCATGTTCTCATTCCTACCCAATCAAAATATTTCTGGAATGTGATATGAAACTAACAGTAGATTGCAATATCTCATTGTTTTAAGTTCTTCTTGATTTCCCTCATACTCAGGCTGTACCAGCTATCCAAAGCTGGGAAGCTGTGTGTTCCAGCCATGAATGTCAATGACTCAGTCACCAAACAGAAATTTGACAACCTCTACTGTTGCCGTGAATCAATTCTTGATGGGTAATGTTTTATTATCTTTGGGATGAACTTGAGTTGTTCAGTTGAGGTTCTGAGTTTTTTGGTTTTGGTTATTTCTGGAAATGATTCATATAGGCCCTCTGGATTTATCACCACATCATACTCAATATTTTATGACCCAGAGCTACCCATTGCAAGCAAATTTATTTTACTTAAAAAGTCAGAACTAGCCCCTATCTAATGGTAGCAGAATTTTTACTTTGTGAGCCTGTCAGGCCTACGAGTCAGTAACTGAAGTCATTATAAACAAGTAAGTATCTTTGATGGTTTGGGAAAAGGTCCCTCGTGTTCCTATTCTAGGTCATGTTGCCAGTTCTTAAACTCCAACTATCATGTAATTCTATGGCCATCTGGAAAGTTTTGGTGAGCAAAGAGTCAATTTCCAGAGGCATTTTTAGTTTTTCAAATCTGTAAGGACTGTAAATCTGACAAAATCTACTTAGATATATACCAAATACTGTGTTCTTCCAATACCCAGTTTCTGTTTCTACACTTGAGTTCCTGCATTCCTTTGTTCTTGCTAGGAAGACTCAGTAATTCTCTATGTGAAGCCATTAAGTTGGTTTAGAATATTGCCAAACCAAATGGTTGCCATCATGTATTAGGTTAATGGAAAAGTGAAGAAAGGGCCTGTGGGCCACATTACTAACCAATCTAGATCCCAGGCAGTTTGCGACACCACCGGCGTTGGAGCCAGAAAGACCTTGGTTTGACTATTGGCTTTATCATTTATTAATTATAAGGCCTTGGACTAGTTATTTAACCTATCTGTGTCTATTTCCTCATCTGTAAAATGGTGACAGTAAGACCTACCTCACAGAGTTATTGTGAGGATTATATGAGATAAGGTATGAATCCTGGTATTCAATGTTAGTTCCCTTGCTGTTCTTTCTAGAACCCTGTACAGTAAATTCTAAGATTGAGTTAGATCTTAGAGGAAGCTTTTTGCTTTGAAGTCTTTTTCAGGGGGGAATGTTCAATGCAAATTTGAACAATTATTAATTATTACTCCTATAGAGTCAATAGTATTATCAAATAGTTTGGACATTTGAGTGAATTCTCAAGCCATCAGTCTGTTTATAGACTGTCCCTAGTTCTGTCCATATATAAATATTATTGTGGTGAATAGCCTTGTGTCTGATAAAATTAATAATCTGGGTATATACTCATTAAAATATTTGCTCATCTACAACTATCTTTTAGATTTTTCAAGTCCCAAATGTATGAGCTTAAAATCTGTCTATACTAGATTCAGTAAAAGATGCATAAAGCTACCTATACTAGTTCATAAAAATGGACAGAGTTCCTCCTAAGCAGTGTATACCCTATGGGTAAGAAAGATTCTTTAATGTCAGAAGTGTATGAAAGTGAGAGTAAGAGGGAAGCAGTGGAACGGAGTTAAGATTAATGAAAAAATAGAAAAACATCAACTATCCGCCAGAAACCTGCTAAGTAGTAAGAGCTCATTGGCACCTTCAGATGGTAAAAAACTTTCCAACTGGATCATGGGCAGTTGTTCCTCTCAGAGAAGTTGAGAGCAGGAGAAGTTAAAGAAGAGGCAAAGTATGGTCCAGGGAAGGCTACAATGGAAAGGAGAGGACATTCAGGCCAATAGAGAGTCCATATGAGGAAGGTATTAGGGATTGAGCTTCTGTAGTTCTGAGCTGGTTATACACTACGCCATAAGCAATGAGGGAATGGCCCCACTGGCTCCTAGAGAATACTTCTGTAATTGGACTGCAGTGCCAAAAAGCAGTGCAAGTGCAGCCTTCTGGAGACTGAGATTCCACTTGGTAGGAAGAATAAGGATATCCCAGATACGATTTTCAGATCATAAAATAAATCATATTTTAGGAACTCTTCTAGAGGGTCCTGGGGCTAGAAGAATTAGAGAGAAATCAGAGACTGGGTGTAACTTTTATACACCACCAGACAGTTTACCCCGATCCCCCTAAAAAGTCCCTTCTTGACTGAGGTCTTTTCTGTCCTTTTTCCTCAAACCCTGAGGCAGATCTGGGTCTCTAAGATCACAAGGAAATCACTACCTAACTGGAATCCATCCAGGTCAGTCAGCCTATCATTTGCAGAGTAGCAGTGTTGATGAAGTTTCCTTTCCACCACACAATCATTTGTAGTCACACAGAGAGAATCATCTTCCTTTGGGAAGAGAGGCAGAAAGGCTTGAGGGTAGTCAAAGCAAAGAAGGCTCGGAAATATGATCTACTGATTTTCCTTGCTGTGCTAGCCATTCCAGGACCATTCTCCTAAGCCATGACTTTTGAGTATGGTGGCAGCTCAGCCAGATTTACTCTCTTCGCTCAATAAGAAATTGCCTCTGCACTTAATTGATATTTATTGAGTTTCATTAGGATTCATGGAGTTATACCAGTTCCTATTGAGTAGAGTTGTCAAATCATTAAAAACACAGGATTCCTACTTTGCCTTCGGGGCATTTATAAACTCTTTTCAACAGGAGAGGTTAACAGATAGCTGGTGAGTAGAAAGATCCACAAATATTTATAGGAACTGTCTATCTCAGAATAGGCTGGTTTTAGTTGAAAACTTTCTTCTGCACAGCCAGGGATTCCTAGAGAAGGGAGACTGACTGAACCTAAAGAGAAGCTAGAAACTGCTCCTACAAGTTCTTCCAAGAGACCCTGAAAACAGTAAGGACCATTATTCCAGCTTCATAGAGAATCAAAGACAAAGAAGTAGAACATGTCTGAGAAGAAGTCAGCCCCAGAAAACTCACTATCTCGTGTAGTCGGTGTTGACGTGTTTCAAAGCTCTTCTCCACCTTATTGCCCATTACCTTCCCCTTTTGAATTCATGTGGGACCTGTTGGCCATTCTGATACTAAATATAGTACTTATTTATCAGTGTTATATTTTATGTTTGTCTAATTCAATAAGCTAGAATATTTTCATTAAGCCAGAGTTTTGTCACCTCCTAAATAAAAATTTTTATTTTCTTCTTTGTATCTTTTATTTCCAAATATCATATATTCCAAATGTTATATAATTGCTTTTATATTTAAAAGTTACTTTGTAGTCTATAGCTTCTTCCCTTATGCATCATTCCCAAGACAAGGGGAAAGAAACAAAGAAAACAAAAAAACCTCAATATAGATGGAATTGATTGGATAGCATAGAGTGAGAAAATACATATTTTATTGAATTCTTCTTTCTAGTCGTTAAATAGTTTCTCTGGAATAGAAACCAGGCTTTCTTTCAAAATGGAAAAACAAAAACATGAAAACAAAAGGGCCGAATCTAATCTCAAGTGAGAAACAAGAGAAGATTTTTCTGATTTAATGTTTTTTTCTCCCTAGACTTAAAAGGACAACAGACATGATGTTTGGTGGAAAGCAGGTGGTGGTTTGTGGCTATGGAGAGGTAAGGTTTAACCAACTTTAGAGGCCCTCTGGCTAAAGTACAATCTTTCTTTTTCCCTTTGCATTTTTGCCATTTTTTCTTAAGTTGATTTTCTGACTGTTCCAGTGCACTATTTGTGATGTTCTTTTAGCTTGTGTTTTGATTATAAATCGTGAGTGTGGGTGTTCTTATGCACATGCATATGGTAAGCAGGGACTAGGAGTTTGTTTATGAACTGCATTCATTTACTTGTTTTTCCCCAAGCATAAATCTATTCAGTGAAATTCTTTTTGGGAGCAGAAAGCAGGGTACACTTCACCAGAGGCTTTGAAAACTGTTTTCTCATTGACTTTCCTTACTGTGTGTACTTTCTCCCCTCTTCAGGTAGGGAAGGGGTGCTGTGCTGCCTTAAAAGCCATGGGCTCCATTGTGTATGTAACTGAGATTGACCCCATCTGTGCTCTTCAAGCCTGGTAAGCATGCAAAAGGAGACTTGCTTTTTCCTCTACTCTGTCATCTAACTGTGATCTTGTACCTGACTCCGAAGAATGGCCTGGTTAATGTCACATTTTATCTTAGAGGAGCTGAGATCCTGAGCAAGGCTGCCATTAACTGTAAGCGCTTGCCTTTCAAAGATCAAGGAGCTCTACTCTGAAAGAGCAGAGACTATCAGAGAAGCTAAAATTTAGGATTCCTGTGGAAATAGTAACAAGGGATGCCTGGAACCAGAGAACAAGCAGCCCGTTACCTTTTCCATATGTAATTCTTCTCCCTTTGAACACAGTGATCAAGAAAGAAACAGACTGGCACCAGATCCTTTCTGATGTGGTGCCCTGAAAAGAGCACTTCTGTGATATTCCTTCCCAAAATGTGTAACCTAAATCTAATCAGAAGGAAACATCAGAGAAATCCAAATTAAGGGTAAAATCTGCTAACTCTGAGTGAAGGGTATATAGGAGTTGTTTGTACTATTCTTTTTTTTTTTTAAAGATTTATTTATTTATTTTCGCCCCAAAGCCCCAGTAGGTAGTTGTATGTCATAGTTGCACAGCTTTCTAGTTGCCGTATGTGGGACGCGGCCTCAGCGTGGCCGGAGAAGCGGTGCGTCGGTGTGCGCCCGGGATCCAAACCCGGGCCGCCAGCATCAGAGAGCACGCACTTAACCGCTAAGCCACAGGGCCGGCCCTGTTTGTACTATTCTTGTAATTCTTAAGTTTGAAATGATTCCAAAATTGAAAGTTAAAAAAAAAGAATAATTCCTTTCCCATCTGTAAAATGTGGGTAATCTTACCTATCTCGAAGAGTTGTAAAAGTTCAGTAAAATAATTATATAATTATTGTATATGATTGTACATTATATAATGTGTAATTATATAAAGTACAGAGCTGCTGTCACATAATAAATGCTCACTAAATGGTAGCTGTTATTAAAATTGTCTCTTGCCATCCTCAGCAGGATGGAAATACCACTGTCTGTGAAAACTACTGCAGAGTCCCAGTGTCTGTAGCCTGGATAACCTACTCAGTCTTTACTGTTAACCCTCCAGAGGAAGGTACCCAGGATAGAATGAAGCATGGCATCAAGATTTTACCATAACCATTGTCCTTATCCTACCACTCCTTACACATCTTAGCCATAAACCCACAGATTTCGCCAGCAGAGTTGTTGGCACACGAGGAGAATTATCACCATTCTAGTACTTTTTGGGTTCGTTAGAGAAACCTGAACATGTTTTATTACTGACTGAGGTACTGATTCAAATTATCTTATAGACATGAACTAATCACTGACTATATACTTGGTACTGTGCTCTGTGCTAAGGATGAATACGATGAACAGATGAATGAGACAAGTTTTCCCTGCTTTTAGAAGCACTCAGACAAATAACCACTGCGGAGTATAATAAGTGCTGTGATGGAGATAAACAGCACATGCTTCTGCAGGAGCGCATAGGAGAAATATCTAACTAAAGAGCAAGAGGGCAGAGTACAAAGAGGTGTCAGCAAAGCTGAGTCTTGAAACTTGTGTAAGTGATTTCTTAGTTTGGAAGTAAATTCCAGGTACAGGGAACAACATGTGCATAGTAACTGAGGAAGGAGAGAGCACAGCATATTTAAGAAGCTGGAGTATTTTAATGTAGCTGGCCAATAGGATAAATTTGGGAGAGTGGTAATATTTGAGGTAGGAATCATATGTCAGTGTAATCATATACCAGTATAAGTATTTGGGTCTTATCCTGAGATCAGGCAATCTCACTGAAGTATTTTAAGCAAGGAAGTGACATGATCCAGATTGCATTTAGGGAAATCACTCTGCAAAATGAATTAGAGAGATGTAAACCTAAAAGCAATGAAATTGGGCCAGGGGATACTCTAGTAATCTAGGCAAGAAATAGTAAGACCTGAACATAAGCAAGGCCAGCATGTATGGAGAGGAAGGGATAGATTCAAGAGATTTTAAGAAATTAAGGAAAAAGAATCAACCAGATTTGGTGACAGCTTCAGTTAGGGAGAGGCGGTAGACTAGGACATACTAGTTTATTTTGCTCGTACAGTTGGGTAAACAGTAGTGCTATTGATCCAGATGGAAAATATAGAAGAAGAAATAGATAGGATTGGGGGGTGTAAAAGATAATGAGTTTATTTCCAAACACAATAAGTTTGAGATCCTTGTGGGACATCTAGGAGGAGCTATCCAGTGGATAATTTGATCCATGGTTCTGAAGTTTTGGAGATAGCTAAACTAAAGATATAGATGTGCAAATCAGCCACCTATAAGGGTCATTTGCAGCCAAGAGAAGGGTATGGATAAGTGCTGAAAGAATAGAGAAAAGAGTACCCTACAGAGTACCAACATTTAAAGATTGACTGAGATCAAGAAGGAGCAATCAGAAAAGTAGGAAAGGCAGGAGAAAACAGTATCATGGACTCCAAGGAGTATAGAGCTTTAAGAAGGTAAATAATGTTTAATGTAGCAGTGGAAATCAAGTAATATAAGAGTCTAAGAAAAAAAATTTTTTTTTTTTTACATTCAGGAGATCATTGATGATCTTGGGGAGAGCAGTTTCAGTGATAAAATGGCACTTTCTAAAAACTTGATTACGGAATCTCATGGTTAACCCTGGCTCACTATTATCAGGAAGAATTAGGTTCCAGTGATGCAAAAGAACCTTTTATTTCTGTCCTGTATGAACTAAGGGAATGGTTTGAATTTTTCACTGCTAAGAATAGTCCAGCTATATCAAGAAGTGACAACGTAGGTACTAAAGGACCTTGGTAATAGCTTTTGAGGTTCTGTGGCAAAAGGCTCCCCAGCTGCCTATTTAGGTTAATTGATCATGCTTTATTTCTACAGTATGGATGGATTTCGACTGGTGAAATTAAATGAGGTCATCCGACAAGTGGATATTGTAATTACCTGTACAGGTATGATTATGATGTATAAAATGGGGTGGTACTTGGAAACGCTTTCATAGAACAAGTGAAAAATGACTGGAAATGTTCTAAACAAAACCAGACTCTAGGGGCCTGCCCAGTGGCGCAAGTGGTTGGGTGTGTGCACTCTGCTGCGGCGGCCCAGGGTTCGCCGGTTCAGATCCCAGGCGTGCACCCAAGCACTGCTTGGCTGGCCATGCTGTGGCGGCGTCCCATATAAAGTGGAGGAAGATGGGCATGGATGTTAGCCCAGGGCCGGTCTTCCTCAACAAAAAGAGGAGGATTGGCAGATGTTAGCTCAGGGCTAATCTTCCTCACACACACAAAAAAATTAAAAAACAAAAAAAAACAAACAAAAAAAACAAACTCTAAAAGTCAGAGATGGTAGCCCATAAAACCAGTCAGTCTTTCACATTCTTCCTGTCTCTTTAGAGCTCTGACCAAAAGTATACCATTAGGTCATCCAGAGGAAAGTTTCTCTCCATCCCTTTTAACTGTTCTTTATCTCCATATATCCTCAGCTGCCTAGGAGATGGCTAGAGATGAGTTTGGTTTTTTTTGGTGAGGAAGATTAGCCCTGAGCTAACATCTGTTGCCAGTCCTCCTCGTTTTGCTGAGGAAGCTTGGCCCTGGGCTAAGATCTGTTCGCATCTTCCTCCACTTTGTATGTGGGATGCCTGCCACAGCATGGCTTGATAAGCGGTGTGTAGGTCTGCGCCCAGGATCTGAACCTGCGAACCCCAGGCGACTGAAGTGGAGTGTGCGAATTTAACCACTATACCACTGGGCCGGCCCCTAGAGATGAGTTTTATTTGGAAAGTCAGATCTTAAATTTGTACATTTGATTTTTTATTTTACCTCCAAAAGTGATGAATATTTCCCTCTAGTCCTTATAATTATTGCAAAGCTAGAGCAAAATTCTTCATGGTTAGAGAAAGTGGGAAAGGTAATTGTGTTAATTCCCAAAGAGGTAGATTTTGAGTTTTAGAGAGGAATATGCAGATATGGCTAGTTTCCTTGGACTGAGATGTTTATTTTGTCTATATGGTAGACTCATAAACCACTGCAATATTGGTTTTCTTTTTTTTTTTTAAAGATTTTATTTATTTATTTTTCCCCCCAAAGCCCCAGTAGATAGCTGTATGTCATAGCTGCACAACCTTCTAGTTGCTGTATGTGGGACGTGGCCTCAGCATGGCCGGAAAAGCGGTGCGTCGGTGTGCGCCCGGGATCCGAACCCCAGCCACCAGCAGTGGAGCTCACGTACCTAACCGCTAAGCCACGGGCCCGCCCTGGTTTTCTTTTATAATTCTGTTTTAGAGGAAGAAAATCAGAATATTTAAGAATAAAAATATATTTGTGGCCTCAGGGAAAGCTGGGGATAGAGAAAAGAGACCATAAGAAACTGTTCTTGGGCCGGCCCTGTGGCTTAGCGGTTAAGTGCGCGCGCTCCGCTACTGGCGGCCCGGGTTCGGATCCCAGGCGCGCACCGACGCACCGCCTCTCCGGCCATGCTGAGGCCGCGTCCCACGTACAGCAACTAGAAGGATGTGCAGCTATGACAGACAACTATCTACTGGGGCTTTGGGGGAAAAATAAATAAATAAAATCTTTAAAAAAAAAAAAAAGAAACTGTTCTTGCTTCACGTTTTGTATACGCTATTTTAAAAAGCTATTTTTTTTACCCGTTTTAAGTGTACATTCAGTGTTTTCTAGCAAATTCACAGGGTCATACACCCATCACCACAATCTAATTCTTTAAATTGAGATATAATTCATATACCATAAAATTCACCCTTTTATTTATTTATTTTTTATTATTATTTTTTTTTTGTGAGGAAGATCAGCCCTGAGCTAACATCCATGCCAATCCTCCTCTTTTTGCTGAGGAAGACCAGCTCTGAGCTAACATCTATCTCCGGTCCTCTCCTTTTTTTTTCCTCAAAGCCCCAGTAGATAGTTGTATGTCACAGTTGCACATTCTAGTCACTGTATGTGGGACACCACCTCAGCATGGCCGGAGAAGCAATGCGTCGGTGCGTGCCTGGGATCCAGAGCTGGGCCACCAGTAGCGGAGCGCGCGCTTAGCCGCTAAGCCACGGGCCGGCCCCAAATTCACGCTTTTAAAGTATACAGTTCAGTGGTTTAAGTAAAGTTGTGCAACATCCCCTTATCTAATTTTAGAACATTTTCATCATCCAAAAAGAAACCCCATACCGTTAGCAGTCACTTCTCATTCCACTCTCCACCTTTCCCCAGCCCTAGGCAACCATTAATTTCTCTATCGGCTTGCCTGTTCCAGACATTTCATGTAAACAGAATCATACTTGTGGTCTTTTGCTTTTTTTTTGCTTAGCATAGTGTTTTCAAGGTTCATACATGTTGTAGCATGTATCAATATTTCATTCCTCTTTATTGCTGAATAATATTCCATATTAAGGTTATACCACATTTTATTTATCCATTCATCAGGTGATGGACACTTGAGTTGTTTTCACTTTTTGGCTATTATGAATAATGCTGCTATGAACATTGTGTACAAGTTTTTCTGTGAACATCTTTTCAGTTCTCTTGGGTATATACCTAGAAGTGGAATTGCTGGATTATATGGTAACTCTCCTTTTAACATTTCGAGGAATTGCCAAACTTTTCCAGAGTGACTGCATCATTTTACAATCCTGCCAAAAATGCATGAGAATTACAATTTCTCAACATCCTTGGTAACACTTGTTATTGTCTTTTTGATTATAGCCGTCCTAGTAGGTATGAAGTAGTATCTCATTGTGATTTTGATTTGCATTTCCCAAATGACTAATGATGTTGAGCGTCTTTTCATGTGCATGTTGGCACATCTTCTTTAGTATATCTTCTTTTGAGAAATGTCTATTCAGATCCTTTACTCATTTTTAAATTGGGTTATTTGTCATTTTATTATTGAGTTGTAAGAGTTCTTTATAAATTTTGCATACAAGTCCCTTATCAATGATTTGCAAATATTTTGTCTCATTCTGTGAGTTGTCTTTTCACTTTCTTGAGGATATCATTTGCAGCATGAAAGTTTTTAATTTTCATATAGTCCAGTTTATTTTTTCTTTGGTTTCTTGTGCTTTAGGTATTATATCTAAGAAGCCATTGCCTAACCCAAGGTCACAAAGATTTATTCCTATGTTCTTCTAAGATTTTTATAGTTTTAGCTCTTACATTTAGGTCTTTGATCCATTTCAAGTTAAATTTTTATATGGAGTGAGGTAGGGGTCCAACTTCATTCCTTTTCATGTGGATATCTCTTCTGTTTTTAAGGTAACAAGAATGTGGTAACCAGAGAGCACTTGGATCGCATGAAGAATAGCTGCATCGTTTGTAATATGGGACATTCCAACACGGAGATTGACGTGGTAAGATCAAGTGATTCATCATGGGGGCTTTTTTTCCTCTCCTTCCCAAGAAACAAACTGGAAGAGGAAAGAGCAGGGTCACCAGCCGTCGTAAACATGACTCTCCTGGCAGAGCTGTCCACAGTCTGTTCACTTACTAGCCTTATGGCCTGTGCTTGTGGATTCTGTGAAGCTTCTTCATCTAAACTTAATCGTTTCAAATGACTGTTTTCTTCTGCCAAAGCTTGATACCTACTTATACTATAAGCCATTTTATCTTGCTATTTAGGATTGAGAGCTGGGTAAACTCAAAACTACAAAAAGCATACAATAAATGTGAGTCAGTATGGTAGTCAGTATTTTGGGGATGTTTGATTTTACCATAAACGTGAGAGAAGTAGGTTGGTCCAGGAAACAAGTCAAGGGAGAGAAATCTGGGCTATGTTGAGAACATTGCTTAAGATTGTCTGTGACTGTCAAGTACAGTGGTTTCTCTTTTCTCTCCCTCTTTCATTGGGCTGGATCTCCCCTTAACATATTTTCCAAACTATAGTAATTGAGGTATAGGTGTCACAATTAATTCAATAGTATGTGTTCCTCAAATCTGGAAAATCTATCACTTTGGTTTTCTAATTTGATTATATTCACCCTAAAATTTTCCAATCCAACACAACACTTGGTCCTACTGAGTTGCCCAAGTGATAGTTAATAGAAGTGTTATTTATTTCTTTTCAGACTTACCAAAGTAACTCTCAGTCTGACTTTCATTCTGGTTTTAAATTTTTATGGCACATCTGTATTTCTCTCTGGGTAAATGGCTCAAGCAAAGCATGCTTTCATCTCCCCTGAGGGCTGCTCTGATTGAGCTTCAGCGTTGTCAGGTAAGGATCAATTGATGTTCTGAGAGCCTGTTGGATAACATCTATTTTAAATGGTTTCTCTTTTTAACTCCATACTCTATTCTTCTGTTATTAAAAGTGGCTGGGAAAACAACCTACCAAAGCCTATTTCTACCCTTGAGGTTTCTGAGTGGCATGGCTCCATCGTTCTGTCTTTGCTTATAATGAATAGTTTAGTTGGTTCTTTTTTTTTTTTTTTTGGTTAAGTTTCACTTATGTGCCATACTGCCCTTTTACTGAATGGTCAAAGATATTAATATTTCTTAAACTGTCTAGCACACGATTGTCCTTTTCTAGATTAATCTGCTTATAGAGCCGCCACATGGGAAAAGCTTAAAGGGAAGTAGTCATGCTCTGAGCCCTAAAGAGAAATTTCTGAGTAAGGGAAGGGGGAAGGAATTTTCCCTTCTAAACCCTCAAGAAACTCTAAAATAAAAGTAATTCCAAATGCGATCATGTAATTTTTATATTTTTACTTTATCTCATTTTATCCTCTTGATCATCCCATGAGGCATTATTCTTATTCCTGATTTTCAGTTGGGAAACTAAGAAGTCAAGTACATTGTTCAGTCATATCCATTGATTCAAAAGTGAAATAGGAGCACAAAATCTAGGTTTTTTTACTTCTAGTTCAGTTTTTGTTTTGTTTTCCTGTATATTGTACTATTACCGCCTCATAATTTCTAGATTAACTTCAAATTATGATGGTAATCTCTCCTGCAAAGGCAGCCCAGACATAAGTAATCTCTCAGGATAAAAGCCAGGAGAGTCATTACCTTCAATCACAAATTTTTATTGTGTGATTGTTATATGCCAGCTGCTGTTCTAGATGCTTGGAGTCAGTGCATAAAACAGGCAAAGATTCCTGCCCTTGTGGAGCTTACACTTTAGTGAGAAGAAAGACAATAAACATAATAAGAAAAATTTATAGTATGTTAGAAGGCAAAAGCACCATGGAAAAAAGAAAAAGAGCATGGTAAGGAGAATCAAGAGTGCTAGGTTGTAATTTTAAATAGAGGGATCAAGGTATAAGGCTCATGAGGATAGTGATGTTTGAGCAGACCTGAAGGAATTAGCCATGTGGATTTTTAGGTAAAGAGCGTTTCAAGATGAGAGAACAGCCGGAGCAAGTGCTCTAAGCCAGGGGTGTGCCTAGTCTGTTTGATGATCAGCAGTGAGGCCAGTGTGGTTGGAGCAGAAGGAGCATTGGGCAGGGAAGAGTGGAAGATGAGGTCAGAGAGGTAATGGGCCAGATCTTATACAGCCTCATAGGCCATTGTAAGAACTCCTGATTATGTTCTGAGAGAAATAGGGAGCCGTTGTAGGATTTATAACAATCTAACTTCTGTTTTAAAAGGATAACTTTTAATTTGAAAGGATCACCCTGGCTGCTGTGTTGAGACTAGACCTAGTTTTGCAGGTATTGCTAAATACCCCCAGTATCTGCCACTGGTACTAGCCAAGGGCTATCTCTCAATTCTCTTTGTGCTCTTCTTGGTAGAAGGTATATAACTACACTAACTGGTCCAGAAAGGGAGATGCTCAGAAGGGCTTTAGAAAAGTTAAATTACTCAACCTTTGGTGATAGTGTCACAGGGCATGTAAAATGAAATTTAAGGAAATAGCAAACTTGACTAATCATTGAAACCAGAATGTTCATTCACTGTTCAGCAAATTTGTATTGAATACTTGCTCTGCTCTGTGCCAAGTACTAATTGGCTGAAGAAACAGCAGTGAACAATATGCCTGCTCTCCTGAGCTTATATTCTAGTGTGGGAGACACACAGTAAACAAAGACAGTTATTGTCAGTTAGTGCTTAGTGTTGAAGAAAGACAGCAAGGTGAGGAAACTGAGGACACTATTTTAGTTAAGGTGATCAAGGAACGTGTCTTTGAGGAGATAACATTTGAACAAAAACCTGAATGAATTGAAGGAGCAAGCCATCTGAGCATTCTATTCAGAGAGAATGCTGAGAAGTAAAAGGTAAAAGACCCTGAGGTAGAAACGTGTGTAATGTGTTTTGGAAACAGAAAAGATGCCATTGTGGCAAGAACAGGATGGGCAAGGGGATGAGGATAAGAGGCAGCTCAAGGAGGTAGTGGGGTATGTAGTTTTGTAAGCTGTGATAAGGAACTTTGGATTTTATTCTGAGTACAAGGGAAGCCATTGGAAGGTTTTGAGTGGATGACTGACAAAATCTGACTTATGTTGCCTTTTTTTTTTTTTTTGTGAGGAAGATCAGCCCTGAGCTAACATCCGTGCTAATCCTCCTCTTTTTGTTGAGGAAGACCGGCTCTGAGCTAACATCTGTTGCCAATCCTCCTCCTTTTTTTTTTTCCCCAAAGCCCCAGCAGATAGTTGTATGTCATAGTTGCACATCCTTCTAGTTGCTGTATGTGGGACGCGGCCTCAGCATGGCCGGACAAGTGGTGCGTCGGTGCGCACCCGGGATCCGAACCCGGGCCGCCAGTAGTGGAGCACGCACACTTAACCTCTAAGCCACCAGGCCGGCCCTGACTTATGTTTTAAGAGATTACTTTAGCTGTTGTATAAAGAAAGCGCTTCTGGAGCTTGAGTAGTGATAAGGACAACAAGAGGCTCTTTCAGTATTCCCATCTATAGAAGGTGGTAGGTTGTATTAGATGGGTAAGCAATGGAGGTGATAAGAAGTGCTATACTGTATTGTGAAGGTAGGACCAATGGGATTTCCTAAATGGATTGGATGCAGAGTGTGAGATAAAGAGAAGAGAATCACTATAAGTCAACAGTGGAACTGCGAAGGAGAATGATTCGGTAAGTGTTTATCCAGAGATTTTTAGTAATCAAAAATTTAAGTTGTTTTTTTTTTTTGGTAGGAATTTATAGTTTTATCTAACCTTGAGATATTGACTGCTGCATTTTTAGGAAGGAATAGCTCCTCAAAAGAGTTGGTCATTTAGAAAGCTGCATTTTTTTCTGAGAACAATTAATGCTGTGAATACTTGGGGTACCTGTGATAGAGATTGTGCTCTTTAGCTGCCTTTTGGCCATGTCTTTTTTTCACGTGTTTCCTTTCTCTTGAAAACAGACCTGCTTACCCATATGCATCACATAGATGGCCTGTATGATTGTGAGCTTCACAATTCATGTGGTTAAACCATTGCATATACATGCTTTAAAAGTTTTTGCCAGCCAAAGAATTACAACCTGAGACTTGCTATTGACTCTGTATTTTGCAGAACTAGAACCACAATTGTTTTCCCTGAAAAAAAACTGATGTGCACTGTTCAAAATCAAATAATAACAATTTGTGCAAGCATAATAACTGGCTAATTAACAGTGGTGTGTACACCTATTATGGGAAGGTGGCCTGCACAGGGAACCTTTTCCTGGTAGATTGCTTAGTGATTATAAATCCACAGAAAAGACAACTGGATGTCTTTAAGAGAAATTCCTGTAAAACTGTGCTGGCTATAGGAAACCCTTCTCTCAAGGAGTCTAACTGCCAAATAGACTTTAATATGTTATTGGGGCTGCCTGGACAGTGCTAGAGATAATTTAATCAAGTTTCTCTTCAAACCCCATTTTAATCTGACCCTCAGTTTGCTTGCATCATAGCCATTCCAGTGCTCTGGTAAAAACTGTCTCTACTAAGCATTGATCATTTTATGATGTTTGTAAGAAGTGTCCTTTCTTTGATTCCACCATATCTTTTTTCCCGGGGAATATTTCCTAAGACGAGAGTCTCTTGTTATCATGGTGTCCACTCTTTACTCTCAGTCACCAAGATTGCTTGTCCTCTGGAAGATTAGGAGTGTGAGACACTAAGAATTTGAAATACTTGAAAGTCCCATCATCTCAATAAAAAAATGCCAGTGTTATTAAGGAGTATCTCTTGACTTTATGTGGTTATTGCCCTCCGTGGTGACATTTCTAAAGGCTAAGGGATTTACCTTGTATATCCTTAACTTCTCAAAATGGTCTGTTTGCTTAAATTCTTTTTAGTTCTATTTATAGTGTTTATTTATAAAATTTCTTTTTAAAATTCTAATTTTAAAGTAATACTTTCTTAGTTTAAAAATTCAATCAATATAAATATAGTTAAAGTAAGAAGTAAAAAATTTACAAGCCTGCCGTTCAAGGTGACAGACTTTCCATCCTAGAACCATGGCCCAGTTTGTAAGCTTGTGGAGAAGGCTGTGGTGCTGGTAAACACTGCTGTGACTGACTTGAAGCCTCGATTAGCTACATTTTGGCACTATGCCAAAGGGATCTGGTTCCTCCACCTCCTGAGGAGATCTCTATAGCTATGCAGAGCTTGAAAAAAATAGTCAGTAGTGCTCAAACTGCTAGCTTCAAAGAGCTCACAGTTAAGGAAGGTCTGCTGAATGTTTTGGTGGCTACTGAAGTGTGGTTGTGGTTTTATGTCAGTGAGATCATTGGCTATAATGTTTGAAGACCAATCTTTAATGTCTGTTTTTATTTGGGGTTTATTATGTGAGTGTTCTTGGACCATGTGTGATCAGACTGGTATTAGAATAAAATAAGATAATGTGTCCAAAAAAAATTTACAAAATTGAGGTTATTGTATATTGTTCTGCAACTTGATTTTTTCACTTAACAATAATGAATAGTTTTCATGTTAACACATATAGATCTACTTTTTTTTAAGAGTTGCATAATATTTCTGATTTATTTAGCCATTCTCTTGTTGATTTACATTTTTTTGCTGTTACAAATAACGCTGGATTGAACATGCTTGGGCACTTATATTTCTGAACTTGAGCAAGTGTTTCTATAGGATGGAGCCCTAAAAGTGAAAATGATTGGTCAAAAATTAGGTACATATAAAATTTTATTAGCTACTTCCAAAATGCCCTCTAGAAAGGTTGAATCAATTTATGAAACTTGACATCTCAAGAAATTTTATATTTCCTGTCTGCCTAATAAATGGTCTAGACCATTGATACAGTCCTGAATATACTGAAATATAATTATATGTCTTATCTTTCCCATTAGATTGGTAATGAAAAGAAGATACATTCCTTGTCTGTAAATAGCTCATGGTCTAGTAGAGGAGTCCACAGTCTTATGTATAATAGTGTTCTTGACTACAATGCCTAGAATATAGTATGTAGTCAGTGAATGATTATTGTGTAACTGAAGTGTTTCTCTTTGTCTGAAAACTATTATTTGGCAGAACTTCTCAATTTTACCAACTTGAGCCAATGGGTAGTCTTAGAATACAGACTCCCTTTATATTTTAGGCATTGCCTGTTGGAAAAAGGAAGTTATTGCCTTAAGTCTAAACCCTGTGACTGTTATTTGATTGCTGCTGTTAACAAACTTAACATTTCTTCTCTTGTTCTCGGAATATACAATATACAGAAATGGAAGGAGGGTGAGCCGTTGGGAGCTTTACTCTACCATTAAGCATTTCTCTAAAGGCTACCTCACATTTGCACTTAGGTCACAAAGCTTCTATAACTTTAGGGTAAACCACCATTGTTGAGAAGTTGGAACCTGGGACATTGGGACATGAGGCAGAACCTTGGGCCCCAGCATGCTATGTTTAGGACATTCAGCCTTCTCTAACTAATGTCACTCAGCTCTGCTCCTCTTTTTTTCTGTGTCTCTTCAGCACTTATGTATTCAGTTTGCACTGTATTAATTTGCACTTGTTTGCATGTTGCTTTGTAAGTATTTTAAAGGCTTTTTTTCCCCTCACATATGTATTGTTTTGTGTCCCCAACTAAAGTATGAGCTTTTTGAAGGCAGAAACCATGCCTTTGGTTTCTTTTGTATTTTCCATAGCACCTTTTACTGTGCTCAGCAGAGATTGGGCGTACAGTATATGTTGTGGAATGACAACCCGAGTGATCCCTCCCTGGCTGGGCCTAAGATTAAATTCCCCGAAATGGAACAGTCCTAACCAACCCAGGACAGGTATTCTCCATCTGGCATGTTGATTGCTCCTTTCAACTTGCTATTTGAAATGGCTGCCTTCAACATCTTTCCATCCACAAAGTGGGACTTGGCATGGCTAATGATGTGCTTGCTGTATGTGTTCCAGGCGAGTCTGCGGACACCGGAACTGACCTGGGAGCGAGTGAGATCTCAAGTTGACCATGTAATATGGCCTGACGGCAAGAGGATAGTATTGCTGGCAGAGGTAAGACCTGAGGCTGGTAAGAGAGATTTACCCCTGACAGGAGAGACTGCAGTACCCAGATCCCTTCCTCCTCATTTTCTCTTATACTTTCGACTCCTCTTAAGCACAAGTTTAACTACTTTTCCAGTCGATTTTACATCTAATTGTGAAAGGTCTTTTCATTCAGCAATTAAGAAACTATTTTGGTTCCCCACTTTTCACCAATTATCCTGTCTCTCCATGTCATTCTACAGGTTGAGTCAGATAATGACTATTACTGTGGAAGGAATTAACAGATAGAACCAATGCCACTTTGAGTGATGCTTACAAAGAGATAATGTCATTTGTGGGATGGCTTAATCAGTAAGCACAAAGTAGATATTCCTGACTGTAACTAAGACTATCTTAGGCAAGCTCTAGGAAGGTCATGTCTTTGCTGATAGGTTTCCTGTTTTTGAGTGTCCATTTCCCTGATTTGAGCCAGATGTGTAGTAGGTACCTAGCTGTATACTGATTGCGTGATTGATATTTCCCCATCCTGGTGTCTTCTAGCTCAGACTTACTCTTGACTTTCATTCCACTTAGCCTTCCATGTCATTGTTTGGCCACTTTTCCTTTTTTGAAAACTTCTCTTCCCTAGCCCTAGATTCCTGACGGCTATAATGATGCCCCCTGTTCTTGCCTTGACACTTGCTCTTCTTCAGGAAAAGATACCAAAATAAAAAGAATGATGATAATACTTTTCTCGAGTTTTGATTTTCAGTCAGCTTTCTTTCCTTTTTTTTTTAATTAAAGAAATATATGAAAATGTAAAAGATATACTGTTCATCTAGGGGCCCTTAAATTTATGTTTAAGTATCCTTACTGTTCTCTTCACCTTATCAAATACTTTAGGGCATCTGTAAAGGGACTGAATTATTTCTTCACAAGAAAGGAGTGTGTACGGGGAGAGGATGGACAAGTTGTTAAATATTCATTAATTGCTTTGATGTCAGCCAGCAATCTGATGACTTATTTCTAGTTGCCTTGGGAGGTCCCATCTAGTAACACCGGTGACAAAAGCAAGCACCACAGTTGTTTTTGGCTACTATGGTTGAGTCAAGCTTCCTAGAAAACAAAGTAGGAAAGGATGGCATTGGAGATAGTTTCTAGTTCTTGTACTCTCTGAATCATCCACTAGAAATAAAAGGCTGCCCCTGAATTCAGGGGAACCAAATTGAGGAAGAAGCACAGAAGTCATCACAGCTTCCTAAATCCAAAAATATCTCCCTTTACAACCTGGAGCCATTGCCCTTGGATTCGACTAGATCCTTGTTTAGGACAGTCTTTCAAAGGAATGCTGATGCCTCAGAAGGAAGATAATCTGCTGTAGAAAGTAGAAAATTCAAGAGAAATATGCCTTTCCTTGGCATAAGCCTCAGTATCACGTTATCATCTCTATTCCTTTTTACATAATCCCAGAGATCTTTTTATTTTATTACCTTCATCAAATTTTCCAGAATATTTTATGCTTTCACTTAAATGTCAATTAATTCCTATTAATTGAACACCTGCTTTTCCAGCAATGTTAGTTGGGAAGTGTTTGGAAAATGGCAGTGGAGCTCTTCTCTCACTCCTCAAAGGCCAGAGACTGTCCTAACCCATTGGCGTCTTAACTCGTGCTCTCTAGGGCCGTCTGCTGAATCTAAGCTGCTCCACAGTGCCTACATTTGTGCTTTCAATCACCGCTACTACTCAGGTAAGGCCTCCAGAATGGGAAAGCAGTGGGCTGGAGAGGGTTGTTAGACCATCAGGGTTTCACGTGATATGGGGTAGATTGCTATGAATGGCATGTCAGCATCCATCTCTCTGCTTTTCTAGGCTCTTGCCTTGATAGAGCTTTACAATGCTCCTGAGGGTCGCTATAAGCAGGATGTCTACTTGTTGCCCAAGAAAATGGGTAAGCATGCATTCTTCCATCCCCATCCTTACCAAAGTAGTTCAGAGTTAGAGGCTAAATGAAGTTTGGGGGCATTATATTGCTTATGGAAAGAAAAAGATATCTTTATCTTGTAAAGTAGTAGCTAATATTCCTAGGTTCCATTCCCAGTTGATTTATCACATTTTCCACATAGGTTGCTTTAGTTGTGACAATTTGTTGTGATTTAGTTTACCTGCCTGTGAATTTTAAGGATTTTCTCTCTTGTATCAAGAGATGTAAGCATCTTGTATGCAAGAATCTCAAAGGAGAAAAAAAAATCTTCCCCTGAGAGAGGCATCATCTCCTACCTTGTGACATCTAACTTTAGGCTGCTAAATAGCCCTTACCAAACTTTTCTCTGACCAGGCAAGATTTTTTATACTACACCTTCTAATTCTGACCCCATTGTTTCAGGCCAAAGGAAAGACTATGACTAGCTTCTTTTCAAAGTTTAGTTATGTGGGTGTTTCGCATAAGGGAAACATTTTGTTATTAGTGCCATGGAATAGATTCTTTTTTTTTAAATTTTATTTATTTATTTATTTTTCCCCCAAAGCCCCAGTAGATAGCTGTATGTCATAGCTGTACATCCTTCTAGTTGCTGTATGTGGGACGCGGCCTCAGCATGGCCGGAGAAGCGGTGCGTCAGTGCGCGCCTGGGATCCGAACCCGGGCTGCCAGTAGCGGAGCTCGAGCACTTAACCGCTAAGCCACGGGGCCAGCCCCTTGGAGTAGATTCTGACTCCTAGTGACCCTGTGTACAGCAGAGTGGAACCCTGCCCAGTCTTTTTGCGCCATCCTCTCATCTTCCAGTGCTATATCAGACAATGTTATGCTGCTATTCATAGAGTTTTCTTTTCTTTTCTTTTCTTTTTTTTTTGGTGAGGAAGATCAGCCCTGAGCTAACATCCATGCCAATCCTCCTCTTTTTGCTGAGTAAGACCGGCCCTGAGCTAACATCTATTGCTGATCCTCCTCTTTTTTTTCCCCTTTTTTTTCCTCCCCAAAGCCCCAGTAGATAGTTGTATGTGGTAGTTGCACATCCTGCTAGTTGCTGTATGTGGGACGCCGCCTCAGCACGGCCTGACAAGCAGTGTGTCGGTGCGTGCCTGGATCCGAACCTGGGCCACCAGTAGCGGAGCATGTGCACTTAACCGCTAAGCCACAGGGCTGGCCCCCATAGGGTTTTCATGGCCAGTTTTTTCAGAAGTGACTGGCCAGGTCCTTCTTCCTAGTCTTTCTTAGTCTGGAATCTCCTCTGAAACCTGTCTACCATGGGTGACCCTGCTGGTATTTGAAATACCAGTGGCATAGCTTTCAGCATCATAGCAACACGCAGCAGCCACAGTACGACAACCGACAGTTGGGTGGTGTGGGTCCCTGCCTGGGAAATGAAACCAGGCCATGGTAATAAGAGCAGCGAATCTTAATCACTAGACCACCAGGGCTGGCTGATAAGAGAAACATTAAACTATCTTAAATTTGTAAAGAACCTGCCTCCAGCACCCGAACTGATACAGAGTGTTTATAAACTTCTGAGGCAAAGATCAGGGAATAAATCAGCTTCTGGTTTTGTTTTGCTTTAGCACTAGATGCATAACCACTGTTAAAAGTTGACATATTTTCCCTTTAATATATCCTTTGGAAGGATATAAAAGAAATAGAACAGTCCATATTCTGACTGGATGTATAATGAAGTTAGGGAGACCAAACAAATACATAGGAAATAACATAAAATTCTGAATAAGTAATATGTATTCAGGTAAGAGAATGTAAACAGAAACCCATATGAACTAAGGTACTAAAAGCAAAGCATTAGTCATTTCTTTCAGATTTCCCCAGGTGTTGGTTTTTCTGATTGACCCCAAGCATAGAGTCCAAGGCAGAACTAAAGTTGAAGCTTCCCATTTTTTAGTCCCCCCACTTTCCCATCCTTTATTTTAGACTGTAAGGCCTATTGCTTCTTTCATTTCTCCCTCACCTTTCTGGGGAGAAGGAAAGGCTCAAGGCTGAAACAGCTTGTAAGGAAGAAAAGCACTGGGCTTGAAGCTCAAGCAACCATTCCTTAAAATTGAGGGCCAATGAGCAAAAGTTGAGCATTTTTCATTTACCTACAAGAATTAGGTGTCTTCCAACTTTTTAAGGCCTAGCCTGGAAAGAACAGCCAGACAAGCGGCATGAATGCTTATACCAGGGCTTCTGTGGTCTGTTCCAGATGAGTATGTGGCGAGCCTACACCTGCCCACCTTTGATGCCCACCTGACAGAGCTGACAGATGAACAGGCCAAGTACCTGGGACTCAACAAGAATGGGCCCTTCAAGCCTAATTACTACAGGTGCCTTGGGACCCCCAGAAAATACAGAAGCCTGGGTAGCGAAGAGCTTCCTGCAGTAGAATTGGTCTTCGCAGCCATCACCACATTTACATGAACTCAGAAAAATAAACCCACTCCCTCTCGCTGCCACACCCAAAGGACTCTTTGAGACCTTCTCCAGACGTGAAATAGTATTCCCTTCCTGAATGTGCCTTTCTCCATTTCATCCTCTTGATAATGATTTTTACCCCTTTATGAAGAAATACTGGCCTTTTTCACTGATGTGAAAAAGCATCACAATTATCTACCCTCACTGTACACCTCAGTAAAGTCCCTGCCTGCCTGTTACACCTTTAAGCAGGCTCTTCATGTCCCAGCATCCCCATAAGCTGATAACATCACAGTCTCATATTTCTTTTTCCCTCCAGGTATTAAGTTCCTGTAACTCAAGCCAGAAGAAGTTTTAAGGACTAGAACTCCAAGTCTTTTCTCCACTCCTATACAGGAAAGAACCCAAGCTGCTTCTCTAATCAGCTGCCCGCCGTGCTCACCCTATATGTTAGGTTATTTATTTATTAAAATCTAGAATCCTGTGCCTGCCACCTTGGCCCAGAGTGTGGTTACTGCTCTGAGGGCTATGAGAGCCACAGAGGACAGGCTGAGGAAGGAAAGAAATGGGGTAACAATTCCCAGTGCATCTTTTGCATCATTCCCCATTGACTCGGAATCCTCAGCAATGGTCATTTTTCTCTTGTCCGGGCTCGGGAGTTAGTCCAGGGATTCCAGATTCCTTGTTCCTTGAGGTTTTCTGGAATAAATTTTCAGCAGCTGCTGCCTTTCTCAGCTTTGGCCTTCCCCAGGTGAGGCCTTTTGGAAGCCACTAAATTAACATGGCCTGGATTCCCAGCCTTGACCATCACTGTCACTGCCTTCTTTATAAAATGGCTAGGAAGGAAGGAGTGTTTTGACTTTGGCAAGCTACACTGAGAACTCAGCTGTGCCTGTGCTTACTGGGAGTCTCCTTCTTTTCCCAGGAATCCTTTCTTCTCCTTGAATATTTATGTCTATTTTAACACTTTCTGGTTCCAAGAGGAATGTGTCTCCATTATTTCCTCAGCACCTCTGGTGTTTGTCAGACATTTGTTTTGCTGTCTTTCTAACCCAGTTAACCTCTGCTCAGGAAGTGGGGGCCAGCCCCACTGGGGCCCATAGTTTTACTTCCTTGTCATTTAACTGGATGGTTCCCCTGGAAGCTCCCTCCAGATTGGAACTGCCTCAGAAAAGGAGGGCTTATTGTAAAACACTGCTTCTTGAAATTTCCTGTTATTGCCTACAACTACTTCTGAAACTGAGCAAAAATCATAAGCTGCTGCTTCTCAGCAAAGCTTGGCTCTCTATGGAGCTTACTATGTACTGATCCTGACACAGCACATTCTGCCTTGCTGTAGTGAAGAGACCTATTCCAAATAAAAAAGGAGCCACATTGGGGTTCTAGATTAGGTTGCCAGTGTTGCTACCTAATCAGGTATTTGCCTCTGAGTTTCAGATGACCTCTCTTCCTTTCTCTCTGGGGGCCATGTGTCATCAACCATTAAGAAGAAGGAGACCCAGGCCTCCTGAGTATTTGGGTTCTACCTTAGTGTTAGAATTTGGTCATTATTTCCTCTACCCTTGGAATCAGAACAAATGTGTCTTCTTCCCTCAAGCTCTCACCTTAGATGCATCCTAGGTATCTGGAAGCATGAGAAAGAAGACTAATTATCTCTTTGTATGTGGCCCTGGCCTGTGAGGATACTTACCATGTCCTCTACAATGAATTTGTGCTAGTTTTCAAGGTCTTTTTTGCCTTCTTAATGGAAATAGTTTTCTTTTTCTCAGTAAAAAAAAGATATCTGGTCTACCTTCCTTCTGCCCTCCTACCTCCTCATCCTACCCTCCCATATGAGCACGGCTCCCCATGGCCACATACTCTTGCAAAGCTTTTTTGCTGCTTGTCTTTTCTCTGAACAGATCTGAAATTGCTGCTCCTGTGGTTTTCTCAAAATTAACTTTGTCATGGTTTTAAAAAAGAAATCAAAATGCATTGTTGCATTAAGCTTTTTTAATAAAGGAAAATTATGGAGAGAAAATAGGCAACACCAGCAAATTATATGTGGACAAATTCTAAACTATATATATACATACATACACACACACACACACACACATATATATGTATATAATCATCTAGTTCTTGCTGTCATCTTACTGAAAGGAAATAAAATCTCTAAGGATCACCATTTCTGAGAGGCTCTTGGAAATCTTTATGTCTAAGTGATTGATTAGATCAGCAATAATGACTATGTAATCTCAAAAGATAAATAAAATATTCTTCGAGTGGATTCTTGTCTTGAGATTATTCCTTGCTTCTGTTAACTAGGAATTCAGAGATGAGAGAGGTTTCTGGGCGAGAGGCCGAAGAGCCTGCTTCAGGGCAAGGATGTAAAAAGCTGAAGTAGTTACTAAAAGGCATGTTTGAGTGGCCTTAGCCTTGAATTCGTTATTCTGTGGTGGTCCACTCTACCGATAAACATTTCCCCTGACCCCTGACCCGCCGGTTATGTGTGTAAAGAATCTGCTTTCTCAGAACCACTGCCCTGGGGAGTTGAGAAGTATAGCCTTTTTTTTTTTTTTTTTTTGTAAGGAAGATCAGCCCTGAGCTAACATCCATGCTAATCCTCCTCATTTTTTTTTTTTGCTGAGGAAGAC